CGACCTCTTCTAAATCCAGCCTGCACATCTGGCAGTTCTCTGTTGACATATTGTTCCAAACGTTTTTGTATAATTTTCAGCATTACTTAGATCTTAAAAAAAAAAAACCATAATAGGAAGCCCAGCAAACTTAATGGCAGTGGAAATCAATGAAGAAAAAGAGGAAAACTTAAAAACTGATTTAAAAGAAAGAAAAATGGGTTTTAACCTACTCCTCTGAGCCTGTAAATCTTCACTTAGTAGCTGGAACTGTAATTACCTCACCTACTTAATGCTCAGTGAAAGTTATTTCATGGCAGCTTTGGAGGTCAGTTTCCTGCCTGCCTGCCATTCCAGAGAAAGGGGCCTGGTAGCACTGTTGCTAAAGTTGCTAACCCAATGGTCAGCAGCTGGGGCCCCCCAACCAGAGAATCCCGAGGTGGCTTGTTTCCATAACGATTCCTTTGGAAACCATGTAAAGCAGGTGTATCCCATACAACGGAGTCACTGAGTCAGAACTGACCCAGATGTCTCTCTTGGATCTAGGACTTGTCACTTTAGATTATTTCAAGATTTTATTCTTTCAACAGTGGAAGTGGAAATGTAAATTCTAATTTTTATAAGCCACTTACAGGAAATATTTGCTGTCAGCAATTAATGCAGATTTAGATACATGATCACAATAATAAAAAGGTATAATTTTCAATAAATCCTAGTATATATAGAAATTACCTTTCTACTGAACAGTATCATTAATATCTTATGCAAGCCAAGATTCTGCTGAAAATTATCCAGAAATGACTGGAGCAACACGTCAGCAGAGAACTGCCAGATGTACTGGCTGGGTTTAGAAGAGGTCGTGGTACTAGGGATATTATAGCTAATGTTAGATGGATCTTGGCAGAAAGCAGACAATACCAGAGGAATATCTATCTGTGCTCCACTGATTATGCAAAGGCTTTTGACTGTGTGGATCATAAGATGTGGCTGATTCTGAGAAGACTGGGAGTCCCAGAACATTTGATTGTAATGCAAAACCTATACTTGAACCAAGAGGCAGCTGCCAGAACAGACCAAGGAGACACTGCATGGTTCAAAATTGGGAAAGGTGTAAGCCAGGGATGTATTCTGTCTCCATACCTTTTCAATCTGTATGCAGAGCAGATCATTCGGGA